TTGGTCTTGATTTAGTTGCGCATGCTTTGACATGAATTTATCATTATACAAATATATTATATGTTAAACGTGTATTACTTTTTTTAATTGCTTATTTACTCAAGATTTGCATGTTTAACAATATCACAATCAGTACTCAAATAAGAAAAAAATTATTTTTTTCTATGATTTCATAGAATGAGAAAATCTTAAATATAAATAAAAATTAACAGGTACTACATCAAAAACAACTACAACTGCTGCCACGTCTACAACCACAAGGCACAACCCCCTTGAAGTAGATGAAAGTCTAGATGAGGACAAATTTGTCTTCTATGGTACAAGATTTTACTTTTCTTTTACTTCATTGTGCTCATATCTTTGTCGAATGGGCACTATACTATTTGTGAGTTCTTCTATGGTCAATCATTGTTTGATGGTATATCGAGCAATGAAATTCTTAGTATATTGTAGTTTTAGGATTCAGTCTTCTCTTATGTTCAATATTGAGAATTGAGAGTTTTTTTGCTTTGCTTTGCTTTTGATACTATATTATGTCCAGGATGAACTTTTGCGAGTGTATTTATGATTCTTGGCCAATGGGGAACAATTATATACCATTCTTGGGTATAGTATATATATCATTTCATTGTTATAACAGTAACAGGACTATGTAATTTATCAAAAATTTAACACGACTGAGGAGGAGTTCAATTTAAATAAAGTAAGGGTTCAAAAAGGGCTTTTGCTCCTCCATGGCCTAAAAGATGGGTACGAGTATAAAAATTGCAATGGCGAATTTCTATCGAAGATTCCTATAAAAAGAGGACACTTCTCTGTTTCGGTAGTTGGTAAATAGTGGTAGTACGGGCATGAGAAGCATGATTGCTATAAGTTGTCTCTATTTAAATAAATGTTTGATTGTATAAATTCTTTTACATGTTGAAATTTTCAAGGATCACATTTTTACAGTGAAATATGTTAAAATTATTAGTGGGCTCATATTAATTAGTCAATTTTCTCAATTTTTTTATTGGTATTTTTTGTGTTGTACGGTGCCTTTTTGGTATGGACAATTGTTTCGAATTTTTTCTGAGTTATATAGTGTCTTCAGACACAGGCAATTACTAGTCTATCTAATAAAGTAGCTTAATTATTTGTTTTGAGCTTTTCGTGGTTTGGGCATTATTGATTTGACGATCCTAATTGAATTTTTATTTCTTTTATAACTCTAAGTCTCTCATATCTCGTATAACTCTTTCTCTTTCTCCTCTCTTATCTCTTTTAAATACACTATATCTAAATAATAAAGTAGCTAGATGATTTGTCTTTAATTTTTTGTGATTCAGATCATTTGAGAATTATTGATCTAACGATCCTAATTAGACTTTCATTCATTTTACAACTCTAAGTCTCTCATATCTCATATAACTCTTTCTCTCACTCTATCTCATATACTCAACTCTTATATATGTATAACTCTTTCTCTCTCTCTCAGACATTTTAAGCACATTTTCCCATCTCTCATTCTCTATGTCTCTCTATGTATAAACCATACTCTATCTCTTAACATTGTTTGTCTTGACGATTCTAATTGAACTTCTTTACTTAAAAAAATTCGAAGTCAAGCTAATCATCAATAAAAAAAATAACAAGTGATATCAATTGCACAAAAAAAAAAAACAGAATCAAGTTAATCACCAATAAAAAAAAAGTAATACCAACTGTACCAAAAATAAAAAAAAAAATCAGAGCCAAGCTAATAACCAATAAAAAAATAATAAGTGATACCAATTGTACAAAAAAAACTAAAAAATTAAAATCAAGCTAATTACCAATATAAATATAATTAAAACCAATTGCAAATATATATATATATATATATATATATATATATCAAAACCAACTATAACATTTTTTTTGCTTATTTGTATCACTTTTCCCTTGCTAATGTTTATATTTTTTTGAATACTTGAATAGTGCAAAATAAAAACCGAAACAACAAAAAGTCAATTAAATTAATTTTTTTTAAGTGGTGAAATTTTGATTTTGTTGATTTAGTTTAATCGTAGCGTGAGAATATTTCTATAGAATCCAAAAAGTCACAACAACAGAGAATTCAAATCAATTTTTTTCGCAACTACAAGCAGATCCACTAGGCAATGTTAGTTCGATTAAACTTTTTTCTATTTTTCGGAAATTTGATTTGTAGTTCAATGTGATTAATTTATTTGATTGGATTCAATGATTTAATTGTGTTTTTAATGATATTCCTTATTAAAAGTAGACAACCTATTCATTAGATTTAGTCAGATGTTTAAAAAATGAACACTCATTTGGTAGAAAGAAGACTCGTCACAAAAAATTTTATGGCACGATAATTTTGTAATGGTGTTAATTTAAATTCATGGGGATTCTCAAATTGTATTAATGTGATATGATTCTTCTTCTTTTCAACCATTGGACTTTTTTTATTTAAAACATTCTTGGATGCCTTATTTACTTTGACAAATTTTTGTGTTAAGAGTGCTTTTAGGCACAGGTATATATATATATCCTATCTCTTAGATGTTTTAAATACAATCTCTCAAATACACACTCATATCTCATATAATTCTATCTCTCTCTTGCAGACACTCTCTCTATCTCAGTCATTTTCTTTTGTGAGTGAATGTTATGTGTTAAATGAGTATTTTTATTTTCAATGTTTTTTTATTCAAAGTTTTCCGCTTTGACATGATTTTATTATTGTTAAATGTTATGTGTGAAATATGCCATTGCTATTTTTGGTACTTCTTAGTCATACATTTGTATGATTTTATTGAAGAGAAAATATTTAAATGTTAAAAAAAAAATTTCTTAGACATTCAAAACCAAACGAATCACAAAAACCAAAAAAAAATCAAAACTAGGCTAATCACCAATAAAAAAATAATAAGTAATATCAATTGCACAAAAAGAAAATCAAAATCAAGCAAATTACCAATAAAAAAAATAAATGAAACCAATTGCACCAAAAAGCAATATTCAAAACCAACTATAAAAAAATATTTCCAAGTCGTACATTGCACCAAAAATCAATATTCAAAATCAACTATAATTTTTTTTTCCAAGTCGTAGGCATTCAAACTCAAGCTAATTACCGATAAAAAAAATAACAAAGCCAAATATTTGAGTAGTTTTATAGAATGAAAAAAATATTTGAATGCTAAAAAAAAAAACTCCAAGTTGTAGACATGCAAAGTCAAGTTGAACCAAAAACACAAAAAAAAAAAAATCAAAGTCAAGCTAATCACCAAAAAAAACAAAAAAAATCAAAGCCCAAGCTAATAGCAATAAAAAATAACAAGTAATTAAATTTATAATTATATTGTGTTATTCGATTGAATGGTGACAATGGTGATAAATTCATACGTCTTATAAATGAGTAAGATTTTATGTATTACTTAAAAATTATAAATTTTATTAGATTTCATTAGTATTTTTTTTCCCGAGGTATTTGTATATGTGATATTATTTTGGAGAATTTTTTTTATACATTTTTGGGATAGTTCTATTAACATGAAGAATATGATCGACAATATATTTCGAGTCATTTTAAAAGAATTGGTATGAATGTTTTTGACCTACTTTCTTTTTCAAGATGAACAATTACTTGCGATTTTTTTATGGGTTATATAGTGCGTTCAGGCACTTTCAATGACTAAGCCACGAAAAGCTAAACACAAATAAATCTAGCTACTTTATTATATAGATGTTTCATCATCTCATTTTACATTTATATTAAATATAATTAATTTTAATTTTATTTATTTAATTAATCATATCAAATATCTCAAACTAACAAGTCTTTACAAATATTTGATGCATGTAACTTGTGAATAAAAAATTGAACACTAATTTTTTTTTTAATTTTTTAAGAAAAATTCAACGCTAATGTATCCTTATAAATTAAAAATTCATATGATCTTTATGCGAGTAAAATTAATTGAATCGAGTGAAACAATTTCTTAATTTTGTAATTTATACTGATAAGAAAAATAATATTTTACAAATGATATTTTTGTAGATTATTTTTTGATAGAAATTATTTTGGCGGTATGATTTTTGATAGATTGGATTTTTAGTTTGAATTAGATTTGAATCGACTTTGATTACATTGGATATAAATTAATGTTTTTTGACCAATTATTCGAATATGAATTTAAGTCAATTATATCCTATTTTATGGAATTATATTTAAATATACTTATTCATTAAGTCAATTAATTTCAGTTGAATTCGAATATAAATTATTCAAAAGAAAATCTTTCAAGTATTTGGATTAAATTTAATATTATATTTTTTTATTGAATTAGAATTATAATATCAAATTTAATCCAAATACTTTGACAAAATTTCGTATCAAATATAAGCAGAGCCCTTATTAATATTTGTTATATCTGGTCTTGAATTTTGGGAGCCTCCCGAAGGGTCTTGTATTGATACCACACCGGTTGGGCTAACAGCACCAAGTTCTGTTATCAAAGAACAACAGATGAGCCGTGCCCGGGAAAAAAGAGCGGTGAGGTTAGCAGTTGACCACCATACCATTTTAAAGTCGCGGATTCAAACTTCAAACCTCATCGTCCCCTCTCAATAATAACACCTGACCAAAAAAAAAAGGGTAGGCTAGCTCAAAACAGGAAGCAGGGTTGTTTTCAAACAGGTTTCAGAAAACAAACCCAATTGGTTCTTCAAAAAAGAAAAACCAAAGCTCAGAGCCTAATACAATGGTCCATAGCTGATCTGTTTCACGTATTTGAGAAAAGCTTCATTCACAAACAGGTAATGGCCTTTGATTGTTATTCAAAGGAAATTCAAAAGGCCTGAATGTCAACCTCAATTTCTATATGAAACAAATATTGTTGCAAACCACTTGATATTAGCCAATGGGCCGAGAAAAGGTATACGACAAACTATTAGCCCATGAGACGGTCATTTCATTTTTATACGAATCGTGATATCTTATTTGTTTTCATTTCATCACTAACTAAAGAAAATAATATTTATTTACAAAAAGAACATGGTGCTGCTCTACAGCTTGAGTTTTATAACATAGTAATCTCCTCCGAATGCAAAGGAGGAGTTATAGAGCATTAGATAACACCTCCCTCCGTACATCTATAAATATATCAGAAAAAAGTAAATAAATCAAATCACCAATTTGCAAGAGAACACAGATAATTTACCCAGCCACCCCACATCTCAGCTTCTAGCTTCCACCAAATTTTCTGGCTATACGTGGCCAAGCAGATTGTTGCGCTTTTGCTACATTACATTTTGAGACGTGACAGTGATGGACTGTGAGTCTGACCTTCATGCAACAGCACAAGGAACTCCAAATGCTTGGCAATACAGTCACTAAGGGTCTTCAGCATTCACCGGATCTGAGTTCTTCCAAGAGATGATGCTCCAATTTCACTTTCAGTGTTCTGCACAGAAAGCTCCATTTATGAGATGTTTATTGTTTTTTCATTGACGGACTTCCCTCTTTACAAAATTCCACAAAATTGACAAACCACCTTTGAATTTTTACCCTTTCCCATTCCCTGATTGTAGTTTCTCAAGTTTTAATCATCTCTCTCAAATCTATATGTGTTTCCATATCATTTCTACATTTTGACTATATACTAGGTATTTTATTTATGTTTTTAAAAATTCTATTTTGCTACATATTTTTCTGGACTCATTTTTCCAGTTCGTAGGTCTTATCCTATGATCTTGATTCTTTAACCTCCCCCATCTATCCAAGGTAGGATCCAATTCTAAAAACATTTTCAGAAAGTACTCAAAAAGGAGGGAAAAAGGTTAGACAATAAAGCAGCCATTACACTAATCAATTCCTGAGGACATACAACTAGCTTATTTCTGTCAATCAGAAACCCGGGCTCTGAAATTGGCATGAGGAGATGGTTCGGACAAACATTGAATAGAGTCCCCATAAAACTTTTCTTGACCTAAGCAAATTACTTACCTGAGATTTAGGAGAAGGGAACACATTCCAGAACCTAAGAGTTTCATCTCCTGCTCCTGTCACAATTGTCTGCAGCAACAATCATTATGAAGTTAAAAAATACAGGCATTAAAGAGACAAATAGCAAAAGCATAAATGGAAATAAACTAATTACATCTTCTCCTGATGCTTAAAAATAAAAGGTTAATATGCTACCTGTCCATCTGGTGAGATGGCAAGGTAAAGAACTCTATATGTATGGCCAGTAAGAGTTGCCAGCTGCATAAAGAGAGGAAAATACAGAAAAATATTATTGCATGTAGATGTGCACTATTTCATAGGGCCATGCTCAGACTTTCATACCTTGGACATTGTAGGATATCTCCAAACTATAATTTGGTTTTGGGAGTAACCGTGGGTGCTAACAAGTTCATTGACATTCTTAGACCACACAAGATTGCATACCTGCCATAGGTACAACAGCAGTCAGTACAACTTAGTAGTTGTAGTCAGAGAAGGGGAGTAAGGGGCATGTATATATTCACTTGTATTGAATTCCCTTTTTCGTTTTGCTCTTTTCCATGTAAGAAAAGCTATGCAGTATCTTTCATTCTTTGATTATAAACGAGATTCATGACAAACCCCATGATTTTGCGCTCTTTCCATACAAAGTCTTTTTGGTCTTGTAAATTCATTTTTTTCCTATTTAGAGAGAGGGGGCTTCAAGTTCTTAGGAAGAACCAATTACTGAATAGCTTCCCAATGGTATGTTCTGGGTTTGTTTCAATAGGTGATTTTGAGAATCAACCAACCCACAAATCCGTCCATAAAGAGGCCATGTATGATGGATTTCACTGCACCACACTATCAACACTATACCCTATTTCTTAACGCTAGGATAGGGAGATGCTTGATTTATAAGTGCGAACCTGGATCTCATTTTATCATATAAACAGTTACAGAACACGTGATTTTCTCACCTTTTTTCCTTCTGATGCCCTGTGATATATGTATCCATCCCACTTGCAACTAACACGTATACCAAGATATAATTATTATGCAAGATGAACAAAACAAACCAAGTTATACAATGAAACTAAACTATATGTCTAGCCTAGAAGACCATATTATTCAAAATGGTCAAAAGAATTCTGCTCCTACGAAGAAGTTAAAATAACAGGCTACTAATATAAGCTCTCATTTACTAAGCATGAATAAAAATCATATGCTCTGGTGTACTAAGGACAGAAATGATAAAAAGATTCACCTGACTGCCAGTGTCCATGCAGCTAAGCTGTGAGTTAGTGGTGGTGTTCCAGAAACGAATGCATCGGTCAGCAGTACCACCGCCAGAAGCTAGGAGTCCATGAAGATGAGGGGACCATGCAATTGCTTTTACAGCAGCTGTATGTGCACAGTATTTCAGCACAGGTTGTGTTGAATGTTGGGTCCAAACGAAAAGCTGCCCAGAGACAAACAATTTCTCAATCAGGTGTTACTAGTGCATACTATTAAGTTCAGGAAAGAACAGTAATATGTAGAAAGCATGATCGATTAGCTAGAAGAGAACAAAATCACATACCCTATTATCATTTCCACCAGATGCCAACTCACGATTATCATATGACCACTTCAATCCACAAACCTAAACCACAATCAGATGATATTCAGGCCGAGAAGAAACTCAGAAATACGAAGATACAATAAATTTTATCCAGTTAAAAAAATACCAAAAGGTACAATTGACCAAGATGTTCAATAAGCCGAATTAAGATGGGTGCCTGACCTCTGATTTGTGCCCAGATAGTTTACTGACAAAATCTTCCTGTGCACGTACATCTCGTTGAAGGATACTCTTGTCCCGGCTACCTGAAGACAACAGGGATGAACTCCAGGCTAGTGCCCCGACACGTAATCGATGTCCATCCATAGTTCTTACCCTCTTACAGCAAGAGGCATCCCAAATCTTTGCAGAAAAAAGTCAATGCATCCGTTAAATAACATTGGACAACAAAGTACAATGACTAAAGATATGGCACATGACCTAAATGCAGAAATGTGTCTCAGTTTCTTAGCCACTGTTCAAGATACTAACAAATTTTGACACGTGGAGGTCAGGTAACTAGCATGTTTGAACTCCAAGCAAAGACACCTTGCATACTGAAGAGATGGTACTAAATTTTGTCCCAAGTTTTATTAGCTAGAAGTAAAACTAGTGTTCTAAGTCAAAGTTATCAGAACCGGACCGGTCATCTAACTGGCAAAAGAACCGGGTCAATGGTTCACTGGTTCAACTGGTCGAACCGGTCACATAATAATATATATATATATATATATATAATAATTATAAAACATAATAATTTAGCTAGAAAATATAAATATGTCTAAAATAAATATAATTTGCCATAAAATTAATGAAGTTAAGTAAAAGAAACACGTGTCAAATATCAAAATTCAACTTTAAAGCTCCAAACTACTAACCAGTCAAGGACATTACTATAATATTTGTTAAAAGCCTACCTGATATTTTCTATGGCTCTGGGACCCAACACGAAATCCATAGCTCAATGGGCAATTCCATTCCCACCACCAAAGGCCATGCCTTCAGCAACTATAGAACCAAGCGCTGGTGGAGGAGCAGGAGCAACTGGCTATGGAGGCTTACGTGGTGGAGAGCGGGTAGCAGGACGAGGAGCTGACCTCATTGATCTTCCTCTGGAGCTTTGGCGACGACCCAACAAAGATCTAGTTGAAGACGAATAGGCAGCAATTTGAAGAAGAGAGGCTGGTATGTAGGCAGCGATTTGAAGAAGAGAGGCTGGGATTTAGGGCAAAAATGCCCAAAATAGAATTTTTTTTTTAACAATTGCAATCTAACCGTCCGGTTTGAACAAACCGTCCGGATCACCGGTTTTAACAAAAATTTGGCGGTTTAATGGTTAACATCCAGTTCACTTGCCTAGGCGGTCCAACTTAAGAACTGGACTGGTCTATGCCCCGGTTTACGGTCCAACCGGTCGATCTGGCTAATTCGGTTCGGTTTTGATAACACTATTATGATTTGACAGAAAAACCCTAGAGGAATTTATCCCTATCAAAACTGAAATCCACATATCTCAGTAATTCGATACCCTAGCAATAGGCAAGAACACCTTTGGACCCATAAGTTTGCCTATGTCTTCATCTTCAGCTGTGTACTGTATAAGTGCGTGTGTGCCTTAGTTACTTTCTATAGATGGTGGTTTGATGCGGGGGCAGCTTAAATTCTTTTTGCAAGAGATCTGTTTGTAGACAAATTTCCAAGTTTCATAACTTGAGAAAAAATGGCTATGGCTAGTTACACATGCATACCATTACCTATTAATTCCTGATTTGTAACAATTCAATCAAGAGCCAAAGTCTATAAGAATGAGAACCAAAAGACTATCTTGGTTCCTTACAAGGTGAACACCCACCCTGTCAACTTCATATATAAGTCCTGTTTACAGGAGAACTCCAAATTCCTAATAGCTCCTAATGAATCAAAGGAATGACTTAAAGCTCAAATTATTTCACTAACTGACATGCACCTGGCTTATGCACAATACTTCCATTAGTTAAAACTATAAGGTCCCATAGACTTATCATATCACACCTGAAGTTTGCCATTGCTAGTCCCCACAGCAAGATGTGTGCCTCGCTGAGCCCAACCAACTGAACAAACGCTATCGTCAATTCCCAAGTCACACAACTTTACCACCTGCATAGCATGCCAAGGGAATGTAAAACATAGACTCATCAGCACATAAATTCACTTACATATCTACATGAATACATATGTCCAAGATGGGAATGCCACCAAAAAGAAATAGCTCACCTTGCTACTAGAAGCATGCCATAAATAAACGCAGTTACCCAACCCCACAGATAACACATTATGCGAAGACCAGTCAACAAGATTCAGATAGAAATCATCTTGCAATGCAGGTGCATCCAGAACCTATCAAGAAATAACAGCCATAAATTCAAGAAAGTCAATAAACAAAACACCCCACTAACTAACCCAAACCCAAATTCATAAGCAAAACCATAAATTCGCCACAATAGCCATAGATTAAAGCAATAATCACGAATCCAAGATCACCAAATTAACAAAGAAGTCACAAAACTAACCTTATAAGGCGACCTAGGAACCTTTCTTGGAGTTTTAACAGGGCTATGACTAACCCCAGGCAACTGATCATCAAACCCAAAAGGGGATAAAGACTGCAAAGACTGTCTCGTCTCGGTCTTGTACCGGAAAATATTACGAGTCGGAGGACTAAGATGCAAATTCTTCCCATTCAATCCCACAGCCTTATCGGGTGTTCCCGGAGGACCCACCACCGAGTCCGGACCGAACAATGCGGTCTTTAACAGAGTCGTATACGCATTGTTCGACTCCTCCGAGGAGGAATTCGTGGTCGGAGACAGGTCAAAGAGAGCGAAATTAGACCCAGATCGGCTTGGAATGAACCGGTCACTGTAGATGGCGCGCGATGGCGACGGGTGGTAATTGAGACTGCTCATGAGGTCTACGTGGCGATTTGGGGTTTTGGGTTGGAGAGGGAGAGTGGGTTTGGACATTGTAGGTGGAAGATTGAGCTGTGAAGAAGAAGATGAAGAAGGAGGTCTGAGTTGTGATTGGGGACCTAAGGAGGGAATGTTGGAGTTGTCCATAAAGGACTTGGTTTGAGTTTAATCTCTGATTATCAGAGAGATAGAGAGAGGTTAGGGGCTTGTGATGGTGATTAGGGAGGGTTAGAGAGAGATAGAAACCCTAGGGAAGACAGAGAAAGCTTGGGAGCTGAAGAGAATGTTGGGTAATGGGATTTTAGGAAACAAGTTTTCGACGGTTTCGGTTGTTAGGAGACTTCACAAAGGGCTGTTATTTTTCCCGGGGAAATTAACCGAAGGGCTTTTTTGCGGGAAAACGAGAAGTTGGGCTCACCACGGAAAATGGGCCTGGGTTGGGTGTGATTTGACCACAGATCTATTTGGGCCTTCTACTACCCCTTTAAAAAATAAATTATTTTTTTTGGGCTTTTTGTATTTTATACCCTAAAAGATTTCAAATTTTTTATTTTATACATTGAAAGATTAAATTTTTTATATTATATTTTCAATGTATCAAGAGCATTGCAAATGTGACATTTTTGTTGGTTTCCGTTATTTTTTTCGTCAAAAGCCAACCCATTGATATTGATAAAAAAATCAATAGAAACCTAACAGAAAAGTCACATTACAACACTCTTGATACATTAAGGGTACAAATATAAAAAAATTAATCTTTAAGGATATAAAGTGAAAATTTTACAATTTTTCAAGGTGCAAAGTAAAATTCATCCTTTGTTTTTTATTTCCTTTAAAGACTAAAGTAGAAAAATACAAAAAAAAAAAAAAAAGTGAAATGTATGAGATTTTTTATTGCTGCAGGATCAGGGAGAATTGCCTTATCCCACACTAAAAATTATTTTCAATACTTAAATCCATAAAACTCAAATCACAATATAAACCCACCTGGTATATATGAAATATAACAAAAACTAATTAGGATGAGTATGTGCAAAACTTCCTCTCTCTTCTCATTGCTCTTGCTGGTCAAGCAATTTTCTAGTTAATACTTCTGTGGCAAGTTGGCATCAAAAGCTTATGATCAGCAACACTTCATTGATCGATTAAGAAAAGACCATTCCTCTTGAACTGTTTTATGAATTATGAGTGTACTCAAAGCCAAGACACTGAAGCTATAATTTTCTCTTCTCCTAAATCATATTGTCTCTTTTTCTCTGGGTCATACACTGAAGTAACTAGTAAGAGAGCCAGCTATGTTCTATCATGGTTTTTGTTGATTAGAGAGTGAGAGAGAGGGGAGATAGAGAGTTTTGTTTATCACATACTAGGTTTTGGGTTTAGAGAAGTTTACAATTTTTTGTTTACTACAAGGTATTTAGGCTTACGCTGACTATTTCCTCGAGCTTAGCAACTGGTCACCGTACAGTGACTTGAGTTACATTAAAACATGTCCCTAAAAAGACAAAGGTGACTAGCCCTTAGGAGTGTGGGAATGTATTGAATTTTAGGGAAGTTACTTTATAAATAATAAAAAATGTGTTCCAAATTTGGTTGCACACGATATTAATTCATCAGCATCCATTGCAGGCAATCTTGAAGCCTAGAAGGACCTGTACTTTGGGTTGATTGATGCTTCAATTCTATTCTCATTTGCGTCATTCATTCCCTTATAAATGTCCTCTTTCTTTGGCCTTGTTCTTCTCTCTATGTCTATGTAGCCTGAAAGAGTATGATTTCAAATTGCAGCATTGTGGGAGAAATAGAATTAAAGAAAAGACATTGAGGAGAGTTCTGTTTTGTGCAAACTCTATCAAGGTCAGTGTTCTTCTGAGTTATGGGAACAGTCTTTCATATGCCAAGTAATGGTGGGAGTCTCGTGCACTTGACTGTTTTTTTTTACCCTTCTAAGATTCGTGTTTCTGAGAACCTGTGTTAGTACTCAAAACATAAATTCGAAACCAAATCCACAAAGCAAAAGTGCCTTTGATTTCAACATTCCCTGGATTCAAAAGAACAGAATATAGATAATTTTACAGAAAATAATCAGCTATTCATGTGTGGACTGGAAGCCTATGCAAATTTGCTCAACTTTTCTATCTATAAACTATCAAATTCTTTCATTTTCGGATAATGTTACAAAAAGAATAAGAACAAATATGAGGAATTCAAGGAGGAGGAGGCCTATACTCATGCTCAATTGAAGGCACTGTCCGGGTGACTGGTGCAGTAAGAGCCCTCACATGCCCAACCATGGAAACTTGTAGAGCTTCCTCTTCATAGGCCCTCCTCTCCAATTCCTCCATTCTTGCTTTCTTCTTCACCCTAGCAAACAAAGCAATCAAAAGCAGACCTAGAAGAAAGGCTCCCAATGCAGCTCCAATTGAGGTCCCAACCGCCATCTTCCATGTACTAATTTTCTTCCTCAATGGCAAAACGGCGATTCAACAACCAATCCAAAATGGCCATGCCTCATTGCAGCACAAACATTCGGTGACACTTGATTCGCCAATGTTACCTTGCCATCGCTATCAAAACTAGCACATAATGGTATAAT